AATATTACTATATAATATTACTAAATAACACCTTATTTTGAATAAACAATGAGGAGCTCTGACATTGATTCATTACCATTTAATCAGCACGCCACCATAGAAATGTTTGATTTATATGAAGATTATTGCTCAAATATAAATCCATAAAAAAACATTCAAACTATTACAAATATAACGACTACTTGTGTGGTTAAAAGAGACGATATGATCTGAATAATGTGTCCTGATGTGGTCCCAGATTAGCACAGTACTGCCAGCACACGACTAAACCACTGACCCCGACATAATGGAGACTAAAATAGCTCCTGAGCACACACAGCACTTGAACCTACCACACACTGGTGAAATATGTCCACTGTTACTCAGCTGCAACAATCACTGAGTCAGAGTCCAAAGCAAAGGAAATCACAGGCAGCGTGTCTCCGCTCAGTTCCTTTTTCACAGCAGCCATTTGACATGAAATAATAGGGTAAACATACTAATAGTGTAGCAGAGTTGGTCTTTTGTACAGTCTTTAACAGCAATGTTACTCTGTAAAACAGCACATCTTAATAAATTAATAACATAACTTAATCCTCCAAAAATATGGATTCAAAATTAATTTAATCTAACTAAAAAATTAACTGTTGAAGTAATAACTTTGTTGTTTTAGTTAATTAAATTAGTGCCATATTTTAAATATTACTGATATAATTCCAATTTGTTTCATTAACTAATTTTCTTTAAGTTGACTTTATATCATCAGAGAAATGTAAGCTTGACTGGGACATAAAGTTTAGGATTTTATCATTAAAAATAAATATTATTAGTTTATAAATCATTATAGATCCAAACAATTCTTAATAATCCCCCAAAAGTGCAAACATTTGATGTTGAAGTCACATTTCTATTTGAAAAGTGTCCTGAGTTATGAATTGGTGCTATACAAATAAAATTTAATTGAATTGAATTGAATAAAGTAGGCTATAGTTAACAACTTAATTACAGTAATAATTAGTTGATCCACAGAAAATTAATTGGCTAACATTTTCATACTGTAATAACTGAGTAAATTCAACTTCATCTTTTTATTTAGGTACATTTAAATAAGTTTGGAGAAATGCTCCATTTGACTCTGATATTAGTTCTAAGTTCAATTTACTGAATGGAATTTGTAAAAGTTATTAATTTACCCAAGTTACTAATATTTGAGTTACTTGTACTCAAATCAAATGTTTCATACTAAAATAGTTTGAGTTAATAAACTTAGTTTCCTCAAACTGTTATTTACTGTTTTTTTACTCCTTTAATCACAGAACAGTAAAATTGTTGCTGTATTTTTACATATTTTTTTTTACATCTATCAAGAATATTTTCCCTCTTGCTTTTACACAGATTTTTGGCTGCAACATCACATTAAATATATATAAAACTGACTTATTTACCAGTAAAATACTAAAAACTAGGGCAGAATGTTCTTTCCTTTGTGGGTTTTCTGTTAAAGTGTGACGGGGAACAAATAGGTTAAAATTAAAACACAAACAAATGGGACAAAGAACAGCTTGGACTTAAATTCTGATTTATTATTCAAACATATTCCCTTTAATAGTAGCCATGGTAGTCAGAGCAAGTACACGTGAATGAAAGTAAGCAGGTACAGTAGTGAAAGTGACAACTTGATTTAAATGTTGGACCATTTTTCTGACATTTAGTAACAAAATATTTGGATGACAAATTGGAAACTGTGTCTGTAAAAATGTTAACGGACAAATTAAAAACACACACGTGAAACATAAAGAATAAATCACATAAAGGATGAATCCATATCCCAGTGTTTGAACTTCCTAACAGTGTTTCTTTTTCCAGGTACGTCACTCACAAACCAGGAAAACTTACAGACCAGCAGCCAAAAGTGCAACAAGCTCACATCCAGCCATTAAAGCGACCAGAGGGATGTCTGACACGAGGCATTAAAACCTATTAAAACCTATTAAAGATGACACAGTTTCACCTCAAAAAGTCCAGTAGTGGATAAAGTTGTTGGTGGGAAATGGTCCCTCCCCCAAAGTGACAAATTATGTAAACATCCGCCATCGTTTTCTAAGCCTGCCGTCTCAAGATCACAACTTAATTATTATGATGTTTTGTTTTTAACCTCCTGAGATCAATCTGAGTTCATTATGAGGCCGTTTTTCTTTTTAGACACAAATCTCAATACGCAGTCGTTTCCTACAAACTATCCAAAGTGGGTTTCAGCAAGTTCCTCTCAGCTTGTAGAGAAAGACGAAGCGCTGTAGTCAAAGTCCAAGTCAGGATCGAGTCCCAAGAGGTCAGAGTCCAAGTCAAGGCAGAGTCCAGAGATAGAACGTACTGTAATGCCAGTTGTTGATGGATTTTGAATCAATACCCATTTTCTGAACAAGCGCGCTTCATCAACGGAGGAAGTTACATCAGAAACCATCTAGAATATTCAGCAAGACCAAATGGACAAGTCCGAGTCGATGGAAAACCATCTGGAGACCGGACTCGAGTACTAAAGGACTGGAAAGAGGAATCTCGGAAGAGAACAGAGGAGAACGTTACATGATGACCTTCATATGTTATCTTAAGAGAGAGATAATTACATCAGTATCTGAGGTTAATGGAGCCCTACAATCACATGATTCAGTTGTAAACATGAGAAAACAGTTGATCTCGAGGTAATTATGTTGTGATCTTGTGATAACAGGTTAAAAAACAACATCCTAATGTAACAGAATCCAAAGTTTTAATCCTGAAGCGCTCAGAGAAAGTCTTCACCCTCTCGTCACACACTGGGAAGATGTTTGAAATGAAAAGACACTGACGTCCTTCAAGCTTGGCAAAAAAAAGTGCAAAAGATGCCTTCAGAAGCTGTTATGATTTTAGTATTACAGACAAACAGACACACCGATAGACAGACCCACAGCCCGAAAGGGTGCCGGATGAGTTTTCAGAGACCGCATGTTGATGGAGTCCTTATGGAGCTTCGTTTCTCTGCCCATCAGTGCTCCTGACTTCATCTGGGACGCCCGTTACTAAACACGCTTTGGAGCAGCCACATAATCCAAACCGTCTCTCTGGCCATCAGTATGAAACTACCCTGGGAAACATGAGACATCCTGCGACGACACAACATCTAGCGGGTGCCTGGCCTCGGTCAACAGGGGGCTCTCAGTGTTTTCTCCATAGTATGTAGGTCATGAGCAGGATGAGGCCTGCCGACAGGCCCGCGATCACAAACTGGTGGATGGAGAGGACGTTCTCCAGCGTGTCGATCCTCTCCTCCATGGCGCTGGTGTGGAAGTAGTCGTAGACGCCAGCTCCGATGCTCCACAGCGCCCACACGGCGTCCACCACCAGCGGCATGGCGAAGCAGACGGGGAGGCTCAGCTGCAGCAGATCAGATCTGTCAAAGACTGCGACAAGAACACAAGATTTCAACCCGGCCCAGTAATCCTGGAGCCTGTAGGAACACTGACAGAATCATACGGGGCTGATTTTATATCCTGTTGCTTTAATGCTTCGTTTATCTGCTTTTTATCAGTAGGCTGGGAGATATGGTTGAAATCTATTATGTATACAAAGATAAACCAAATCTATACCAAACTCAGGGCTGCACGATATGGTAAAAACATTATAATGCGATGACAATGTTTCATAATAATTCACAATTTAAATGCTGCATTAAATGCAATTTAAAACAGTTCAAATTGTGATGATGTGACATTTTGTTGGGGTTGTAACAAACAAACAGAACAAAAATGTTTTCTTAAATCTGGAGAACAACATTTGTAAGCCAGGGAATCTAAAATACCAATTATAATGCTGTTTGACACATTTTACATTTATTAAAAAAACTGAAATTTGGATATTAACTTTGATTAACTGAGCAGCCTTAACAAAAATCACATGTAAAATATTAAAATTGAAGTAAAATGCAATAAAAAAAAAAGCTATAAAAACAATTAATCTGAATCATTAATTTAAACAACAAAATCTTTGTAAAACAATAAGAAATAAAATATCACAATATTTTATTTTGTAATATTGTATTGATGCTCAAAAACACTACCAAAATTTGTATTTTGAAGGTTAAACTGAGGGCTGTGATATTGGATGTTACAGAAACTTTTTTAAACTCAGATTTTATGCATATATCGGTGTGTTCTTAATAATAATAGATTTAATAAAACCGCAATATATCCCCTAGCTCACAGTATCACAATATATCACAATATATTCATCATATAACCCCTGTATCGTGATATACAGCCCTAATTTGGTCATTCTGAAGGTTATTTCTAGATGCACATTCAGCTTCAATCCCAAAGACAAGGCCCTCTAGAAAGTTTAAATTTAAACATCCTTGCATTATTTTATGAGCCGAATTAAAGAACAGCTCACAATTACGTGTAATAAGTGTTAATTCGTGCTTTTCCTGACACGTAAAGTATCTATCAGCACGGTGAGGGTTAATTCTGCATAGTTTTAAATACAATCTCGTCTGCGTGACTTTCAGCTTTTTGGAATAACTGTACAACAAACACACAATTATAACAGCAACGTAAACGCAACAAAAGGAGGTTAATACGCAGACTAATAATGTAATAATGTAATAATGTAATAATGTAATAATCTTGCTGCTGAACAACGTTATATTCAAATATCCTCGGCTAGCAGGCTAACGCTCGAGCTAACACACCAATCTAGCACAGATTTTTTTTCAAAGAAGTCGTTTTACTTACAGCATGAGCTGCTTCTGGACACACTTTGTTCACACCAGACAACATGCGACTTTCACATCATCGTATCTGCAGCTACCATGTTTCTGGGAATCTGCCGTGAACCACTTTAGCTGCTTCCGGGTTGTGTCCCGATCGAGATTCCCGTTTCTACTGGAAGGTGACGATGTACGCCAGACTTCATTCAAAATTTGCCGCCTTTTATGAATTCACCACCACACGTAAAGTATAATTAATAAAACATAATCTACAACATTTTATTAACACAAAGGATATCATCGGTGAGATTCGGCTGTATACAATAGTTCTGTCAGTGTGTAGTTTGATTACAATGTGTTCACATCTCATCTGATCTTGGTAAACATTACGTGCTGCCAGACGGTCAAAATTATATATATTCTAAACGGAGTCTGGATTTTAATCTTTCCTGAGTCGCAGCAGGTAATTGCCGAAACACTAATCACGCGTCATACCAGGGGTAAATGACCAGAGTCTGCCCCATTTACATTGCCAGGCGCGGTGGCCAAGTGGTAAGGCGTCGGTCTCGTAAACCGAAGATCGCGGGTTCGAACCCCGTCCGTGCCTGTAACCTGTGAATTAAACCATGCTACTTTTTCGTATACCTTAATCTTGTGGATTCAATAATATCGACCAAATGACCCGGAACTTGCACACACACGGTCATAGTTAATGTATTTTTCACCATTTTCAGCTTTAAATATCACATAAAATATCACATGTCACTTGCACAACAAAGAAGTTGTAAGTTGTGACTGAATGCAGCTCCTGTTGGAGAAAGTCTCTTTAAGTCCACCAGAGGACACCAAAACAACATACCAGAATATACTCTATATTTTAGAGTTTTAGAGTATTGTTGGAGCGAAGTAAGTATACCATTGAATGCTTCACTGTAATTGTTGTGCAAAAAATAACTTTATTTATTTATAATTTATAAACTTAATGCTTTAAGGATAATTACTCTAATATTAGGCTACTTTTAGAGATGTTTGCACTGAGTCAATTGTCTGATCTGTGTGTACAGCCTTCAGTCCATGTGGATGCAAACACAAAGCTGATGTAATAATATGTCTTAAAACTAGATTTTGACGGTTCTTCAGGATAAAGTATGTCAGTTATTGTTATGTAGTGTATGGGTTCCCAATCGTTTCCATGCCAAGGCCCCAAAAAGAGAAAAAGGGGGGGGAAGGAACAACAACCCAGAAACAAACAAAAACAACTCCCAAATACATTAAAAAAAACTTATTAATACAGTAATTATTACATTTTTATATGTATGCATGTAAATGTTTTAATCATTACATTATTCAGTAACATCCAAAATCATCCATTTTTGTTAGTTAGACCAGCTAGCTAGATTTTAGTTTATAACAGTTTGTAACAGTTAGACGTCATAGCCGTTATATACAGTTATTATAATACTGTTAAGAACCACTGAGATCCCTCAATCTGAGCTATCCAATTTACAAATTATTATAAATTATATTTTAAAATAGTACACATAATAAAAGCAACAGTCAGGGGATTAGTAGTTTTATTTTTGTTATTTAGCATTTCCCGTTATCTGCGGGGCCCCCACTTAGAAAAACACTTGGTGCACCCTGGTGCATATTCCCAAACACAATTTCTATTGAATGAGCACAAATCAGTTAATTCTCAGTTAGACTTTATTATGTAATACATCCCATCACAACAGACATGGTCACCATAGGTTTTATTAGATATTGGTGCACAGATGCATTTTAATCAACAAATCATCTACTTCACATAATGTATACATACATACATGTAATGTGGCTATTTCCATTGGCTGCAGAGCTTTATATTGCCTTGTTTGACATTACTGACATTACTCCAGCATGTCGTGTACAGCTACAGCTCACGGTTAACAACTTCCACTTCCCCATTAATTCTAAGCTGTGTGCTTTCCCAGTCAAAAACGTTTCCTCTCTCTACTTTCTTCCCATTGAACATGTCTCGGATCGTGCTGTCTGAGAGGACAGTGTCCCACATATTGACATCACCGATCTCCCCAACAAAACTCTGTTTGGCCTCAAAGTCACCAAAGTAAGCGTCTGGATCCTGTCCAAGGATAACTTTGCCTCCGGAGCGGATAGTGTGACCCTTCCCGTAAATTTTGGTCATGCTTTTCCTCCCGTCCACGAAGACGGCAGCCGCACCTGAACTGGAGTCCCAGGTGAAACACAGGTGGGTCTCCATGGCACCGAGCTCAGGAGTTTTGAATAAAACGCCATCTCCACTCAAGTAGAAGGACAACCTAAACACACATATATAAAATTAATTAGTATGCATCTTGCAAAACAGAGTTTCAGAGGGTTTAACAATGCAAAATAAAAATACATTTAGTTGGAACATTGGACTCGTTTGTCGTAGTAATAGCAGCAGCAGTATTGTTAGTAATAATATTTGCACTTGTAATAGCAGAAGTATTCAGCAGCAGGCCTAGTGCTATTATTTCTTGTTTATTATTATTATTGTATATCTATGAATATTATATTAAATTTCTGCCAATAGGATATTTATGTCATGAAAATTACAACAAAATTCAAAAGAATATGATCAAGTCAAAATTCTTCATCATTAGACAAATAGTCATAATTATAAGATAAAAAGTGTTATTTTAGAAATGATGAGATCAAGTGTCTACCTGCCGTCCAGCTCGCGCCACACATTGAGCTCATCAAAGCTTTGAGTCCGGTACGCAAAGAGGATGATCTCACGTTCACCGCTGAGCTCTGTGGCCACACGCATGCACAGAGTGAAGGCACTCAGACTGAGCGGTTTCAGAGGGGTCATCTCAACATAACTGGTACTGGTCTCAGTGGGGAACACCAGGGTCTTCCCTGAGAGGCAAGAAAATGTACAGTTAGTTACAAAAACATCTGTTTTAAGAATAGCCTGATGGGGTCATAGATGATTGCAGTAGAGAGAGATGAGCACACATTTTCCACCTATTTTGTTTCCAACCCAATCATGTAATTTCCCATTATATATACATTTACATATTATAATTAGATTGTGGTTAGTTAAATGTGCACACATTAAAAGTAAACCTGTCAATCTGCTGCCCTAAATTTAATGCATCTACATAATAACCTACAATTATTACCCTTTTACTCTTATAGTTACTGTAAAGATGTTTAATCTGTGTTCATGTTGTATTTTACACATTTAAATGACTAAAAGTCATATACAGGGATCTACACTGCAAAAACAGCCCTTTTAGAAACAAGACAAATATTCTTAGACATAATCAAATGTTCTTTTATTGAACAAAAACAGTCTGCCAATGCGGTAAGACAATGTTTCTCAGCCAGAATTCTTAAAACTAGCATAAAAATCTAGAAGTAAAAGCAGGTTAAGTCCAGTGATTTAAGCAAATGAAAGTAGGGCTGTTGAATTAAGTTTTACTGTAATTTGCCGTTTTTTGCTGGAAAAACAACTTAAACAATAAAACACATATAAAAATAAATTATAGAAATATAATATAGAAACCCACCAGGTCGCTCTCTTGAGTGATTTTTAAACATCTTGGATCAACTACACAAATAGAAATGTTTAAACTTGTAGGCACGATGCACATCGTTAGATCGGTTAGATTCTCTACGGTTCAGTCGTTCAGTTCATTTTTGTTTTGGTGCAAGAGGAATTAAAGGCCTGTCCCAAATAAAGGTTTTACGATGACCTAAACAATGAATCACCTATAAAAATAACTGCAGATGAAGATGAAGTTTCTGTTCATCGACTTATTGATTAATCAATACATTATTTAAACTGTAAAGTTGCAGATAAATGACCTTAAATTAACAACAAAACAATACTTTCATACATGCACATAAAGACAAAGGAGAGGTTTAATGTATAATTACCTGCCAGCACCGTGGAGACGGCACTGAGAAAAAGGACGGCTGAAAGTTTCATTTTGTCTCAGCAAACCTGCAGAAGATTTATTATTGTTAATTTCATGACTCATCCAACAATAGTTTTACATGTAGGAAAGGTTATTTAAAGGTAGTTCAATGAAGCTGTATACATACTGTACCACTGCGAAGGTCCTGCTACAGACAGTCCGAACTGGAGGTTTTTTATAATGTGATTCCCCCAAACTCCTCCCTATTAACATACAGCATCCTTCATCCTTATGTAATATTCAGACAAACAGCATGTGGCTGTTTGGACTAGATTGGATCATATCACAAAGTCCAGGTTTATTGAACAAGGCAACTCTTCCCAGCAAAAGGTTGAGGACAGCAAACACCCAAGGGGAGGAATGTAGGAAAGAGTTGCTCGTTACAGTTACTGTTCCTGTCAGTCCATTCCTTAAACTTCTTCATCTTTATTTCAGCACTGTATCAATAACAAACATGTTTAACTATTCAACACGTGTGGTTGTCAGTCTCAAATGGAAGATTTGGCTTTTTTTTTAAATAGAGGACTTTGCATGAGGACAGGACTGGTTTACCAAAACTGTATTTATTCACTTGATTGACATTCTGGGTCATAATCAAAAATACAGAAAATAGAGTGAGAGACAGTATTTTTGGTCTTCAAAAGACTCAAATGATGCTAATTCTTCTTTTGCTATGTGTGAAATATTAAAAATGTTACAGGGGCTTAAATAAAATGTGTATTATAACTAACATGAAAACTAAAACGGCATAAATAAAAGGCTTTTTGGAAAAGATGTTTTGAGAAGTGATTCAATTTATTCAGAAATAAAAGCAAACAAGAATTAAAAGTCAAATAAAAAGAGGACATTTTTGGACATTAAAGTCATAAACATCATTTAATAGTCCAGAAAAAGGTACGAATGCAGTTTCTTAATGTTAACTTTTTTTATGCAAAACAAAGAATTTTTAATCCTTAAGACAACTGGAAAAAAGCCCCTTTAGACTCTCTGAACTACTTGTGTTATACTCTGATTAAACCCCACTTTAAATTAATTAAATTTAACCCACATTTTAGATTTTTTGGGAGGTTTGTTTTGATTTCTGTTTTTGCTTTTTAACTTATTTTCTATGTCCTGTTAATATCTGCTGCTCGGATTCATTGTTATATTTAACACCCGTTGATGATGTTTGTTATTTGAAGAAGTTTAATAAAGTTTAAAGTGGAAAAAAAAACAACCTTATAGGACAAAAATCCAACCAGCTGTTTGTGCTTCAGCTCCCCCTGGCGGCCACATCTGTAACTGCATCCTATGACTGAACGGGCGTTAGGACCCAGAGGAGACCTGCAGCGGGGAGCGCCGGGGCAACATGGCGGAGCAGAAGAAGACAGACAGCGCAGAGAAGTTGTTCAGTGAAATATTAAGGTGCTTTATTCTCTTTATTGGCACTTATCAGTACACTTATCGATAGGGATCGATCAGTTTCACATTGAGTCGCTCTGTGGCTGTTTGTCCAGCATTTCCTGATGTCGGAGCTTTTATTAAACAGCTCATTTATGTCGGTTAGTAAAGTGAACATCAGTCCAGATATTCAGCTGGTAATCAATAATTATTGATATTCAGCTGGTAATCAATAATTATGATATTTCAGCAAATGGTTATCAATACTTATTGTGAAAAATGATATTCTACTTTATCCTGCTCCTGTGTGTTAAATGGACCATAAATCAATAATAGTATGGAAGCCCAGTTCCACCTAAAAAAGTACTCTGTTTAAGTCAAAATATTGTGAAGTTTCTCATTATTTTGAATTAAGTAAGTTCAAAAATGAATTGTACTTGATTTAGTCCTATAAGTATAAACCTCCAACAGCACTGTTATCCTGTAGGATTTATGTTTGTTTTATTTAAAAACACAACATTTAATGGACTTTTTGTGCCTTAATTTCTAGATATAGCACTTCTAAAATCAATGTGTTATAAGCATGAGATACACTTATAATTGAATCTACTTTAGTATATTTTAAAACATTAAGCAAGTATATGAAAATAACTTTATCATCCAATAGAAAAATGAACAAGGTTTGGAAATTTAAAATGAATGAAATATTATAAATTTAATATTCATTGTGTTGGTGTTATTTAGTGAATGTATGCAGCCGATCCTGATCTTTAAAGGAATAAAACCTGTCTGTGCGAGGGTCCCTGTGGTCAGTGATCAACACTTATAATCATAATGACCTGGGAAATAAACCTGTCATATGCGCTGTGTTTCATCCTATAACAGGAATAATAAAATAATCTGGGTTCATTGTTCAGTTTATCAAGCTGTTATTGTATACATTGAATATAAATGAAATATCCATAAAACTGTCCCTTAAGAAAAGATTTGGTAACCACTGCTCTAAAAAGGTCAATTTAAAACAAATTTTCTCAGTTTTTTTTCCAGTTTCAGTTCTTTATCTGGTGATGAAAAGCATCGACTGTCTGAAATGAATCGTCCCGTCTTCCTTCTGTGTTAAATCCCCAGTCCGTCTGAGCTGTTCGCGGCAACCGATCCCGGAGCCACAAGATCCCAAGTAATAGGTGACGAAGGATTGCTTCCCCGACGACTCGGACGAGCAGAAGACGGCGACTCAGCAGAGTCTGAACTGAGGCACTGGAGCCTCGTCTCAGAGGAGAGAGTGGAAAGCTGTGGAGTTAGTACGAAGCATTCCATCCGATGCTGTCTGTCCTCAGGGAATAATTACTGATGTATTGGATCAGTTCTGCCTCGTAACCATCACTAAAAACTTACTGGATGCCACTCAAGGATGTTTCTCAACCAAGACTGGGTTGTGTCTGAATGTCCTTGAATGCATTCTCACCTTCCCACCTCCTCCAATATCAGATTAACTTCTCTAAAAACAGTCCGTAGATCTCTGTTGTTTCTGTCTTTATTGTCATAATTTTAAACTTTAATATTGTTTTTGTGTTCTATGTTTAATGTCTCGTATCACTTTCCTCCCGTCTTCGGCCAGGTCGTCATGTTAAATGTAGAAATTTGGTTTCTCAGTTGACTTATCGGTTAAATAAAGGTCAATACAGTATAAAAATAAAGTAAAAGGAGATTTTAAAGCAGCCTGCACTCTAATATTAAGATAAAGGTAAATAAACAGTGATGGTATGTTTTTTAACAAGGGGTATATATAATCCAGTTACAAAAGTTGACAGTAGCTTGAAAGTAAAGTGGAATCTTTAAAGCTCTTTCGTGTTTCTGTCACAGTTCCGGTTCAGCAGGCAGCTGTTTTCAAACCAACGTGTAGCTAAAGAACAAGAATGTTGTGTGTGTTGAGGAGTGTGTGTGAGGAGTGTGTGTGTGTAGTGTGTGTGTGAGGAAGTGTGTGTAGGAGAGTGTGTGTGAGGAGAGTTGTAAGGAGTGTGTTCAGTGTGTGTGTCAGTGTGTGTGTGTCCAGTGTGTGTGTGGAGATGTGTGTGAGGAGTGGTGTGTGTGTAGGATGTGTCCAGTGGTCAGCGTGGTATGTCATTGTGTGAGGAGTGTGTGTGTGTGTGTGTGTCAGTGTGGGTGTGTGAGAATGAGTGTGTGTCTCAAGTGTGGTGTTGTGAGGAATGTTGTGGTGAGGAGAAGTGTGTGTGAGAGAGGTGTGAGGAGAGTGTGTGTGGGTGTGTGTGTTGTGTCACAGTGTGGTGTGTGTGTGTGTGTGTGTGTGGGTCAAAAGTGTGGTGTCAGTGTGTTGTGAGTGTGTCTTATATGAGGAGAATATGTGTCCGTTTATGTTGATCTGAGATCAGTACTGGTGATGCTGTTTGTAGTTCCTCTGCAGGGAAAAAAACTTGTGAAGGCGTTTGGGTTCCCAGTGAGCAGTATATGTGGAGCTTCCAGTCTCCAGCTGTGGTATTTATCTCTGACTTACACCTGCTATTAAAAATCTGATCCAGAACATCCTGATGATCAAACATCCGATCTGTCCTCTGTGTTTAAACTGCGGGTGGCAGCAAATCGGAAGAACCTTTATAAGGTGTGAAACGCTGCCTGAAGAACAAATCTTACTACGTGTCTCCTTTTGTAAATTCGGTCCAAATGTAATAGTAGCAAACTGTTATTTCGACTGTTGATCATTTCCCGACCCGTAAGGACGCATCCGGTTTGGGCTTGCGTGCGCAGAGAATCGAGTCAGCGGCTCGTCTTTGAGGCTTTACTCTCCATTCATTCTGCTGTAAACAATCATGTCCTCAACCATCGTCTTTTCTGAATGTTTAAACTCTATCCTCCTAACGACGATAATCTGATTTATAAAGACCTGTTACCCTGCTGAATGTTAAATATATATAGTAATGTTAATAATAATTGCAGTGAATGCTTAAAATACCTGAAATCTACAACATAACTCAGTTAAGTTTTCTGTTTTATTCATTAATAAGAAAATTCCATGTTACTTGGTAAAATAAAATGTAGTATTAGAAGCTGTAATGTACATAGAATAATTGGAGTTATACCTGCTTTTCTTTGTTCTGTTATCGACATTATATAGCAAGCAAAAACATCCCTCTGCTCTCACCATAATCATCCCATTTAAAAGCCCATCTCCAGCCCAGATCCAGCACTAATTAGAGGTGGGGTCTATAATGTAGCCTGAAAGGTCCGAACCACCGTGCAGACACCTCCAGAAATGTGGCCGCCACCGTGCAGACACCACCCTCCAGATGTGTCCTCCAGATGTGGTCCACTTGTCGCATTAATGTGTGATACAGATTGTAGACACCAAGGTGTAAGTGACACAAACTGTAAATATATAAACTTTGTGGTAATCAAGATGTGAGTCAGATGCTGTCATGGTAACTTGCGTGCGCAGGGAAAATGTTCTGGCAACGATGGGAGCTTTTCTGCTGACGCAAGCAGCACCTCCTCCCTGAAAGGAGGCTCATGTACCTGCTGGAGTGGTGAGTGCAAGATAAAAAAAGCTCTTTCTGTCCTGTTATTCAGTTAGTTAAATACATTTTAAACCCTCCGCTGTGTGACACACTGATGCTCCTGCGTTTTCCAAGGCAACCTGCAGGTTTTTACCCGGGACCTGCCGCTGTCCCATCCAGACGGCTAATGAGAGGTTTCTGTCCTCCAGCAGCGTCAGCCTGCAGCAGTATCAGGTCCAGATAAAAGCCCACCACACTCTGACCTGGAGGACCGGACTGCTGAACGCTCTAAACAACGCTTTTCTTTCTCCATCAAACAAAGGTGTTTGCACATTTGAAAGGCCTCGGCTACGGGTGCAGCAGGTTTCGATCCCAGGTGACAGAATCTAACGCCGCATTCAGAGGAGTATCCGGTGGAGCTGTTGGGGAAAAACGGGCAGTGGTTTTGTTGACTCTGGACTCCTGAATGTGGTTGTTGTGTCTCACAGTTCGGAGCCGTCGTCCTAACGAACGCGAGGCAGCTGAACCTCCCGCAGTCACAGAGAGACAGAGCAGGGAGACAGGTGAAGAGGAAGCGCAGCGCCAGCCCGAACGCACATCCAGGTAACAGATCCCCCCTCCTTTCTTGTACAGTGCACCAGGGACGTCTGCTGTGTAACCCCATCAGGGTAAATGCATTATCGGAATGACCAGTGATTATTTATAGCCTATTGACACAGTTATTTACAACATTTTAGAACTTTTTAGCTGATAGAAAACAATGAAAACCTTTTTCCTGCCATAAATACATCATATACATAAAATTAATATGTAATGCAGTTTTATTGTAATGTGTTAATTATATGCATCAAATCCCTGATTTTATTATGCAACTACTGCCCCATAAAGAAATAAAGTAGGACTATTATTACTTTGATTAATAGAAAAACTATTGATTATGTTTAGGGATGCACCGATATCGGGAATAAATACCAGAAATCCTGTTCTGACGAAAGATAAAACAATGTTTTTCAAGGTCCCAATTGTTATATCTATATGGATATAATCTATCCATCCCAGCACGTTGGTCCTCTGATCTTCACTCACCTCTGCCTGGTAAAAACTAATTGCTGTAAATACTCCCTGTTGTTTAATAAACGTCACCAATAGTGAAAAATCTCAAGTTTTCAGAGTCAAAGAATCGCGTAAAAAAAATATTTAATTTGTATTAAATATCACAGTGTTGCCTTCGATCAGTTTTTTAGAGTTAAACTACTTACAAGTAAATTGTACTTTGGTGTTAATTGAGCTGGTGATCAGTGTTGATATCTGTAAATATCCCTAATTCTGCAGTCACACTGACGTTTCCTCCGGCTGACAGATGGAGGAGGACTGACGTCGTCTCCCGGGGACTTTCAGGGACCGCCGCTGCAGGTTCAGCCGATGGAGGGCGGTGGGCAGGACCTGGTGGATGACGGACCTGTCGGGGGCCAATCGGATCACCGACCCCCTCCCGGTCGCTCACTTGGCTGGCACCTTAGCTCCATCCGTTCCCCGACACCTGGGGCTCCAGCAGCGCCCTCTCCGCTGCCTTGTTCCCCTCCGGTACCCTCTCTGCTCCTGAGGGTCTGACTTGGGGGTCTGTGACGTCACCCCTGGAGCAGAGATAAACCCTGCGGAAGGTGAAATGTCCCCGAAGGAGCAGAAAGAGGGGAATGAGGAAGCGGCGGCGCCGGTGGGACGTCAACAAAGACAGAGAGGTAACGCAACATCTGAAAATTAGTTCCACAGGAAAGTTCAGGAAGAAGATCCGGACAACCCTCAACCGTCTGTTTCCTCTGAAGGCGTCGGTGCAGAAACTGGGCCGAGTAATCAACGAGCTCCTGCGAGGCGCAGGAAAAGCGTGAAGGCCGAACCGGGCACACTTGTGGGAAAAGGAAGTCCACGCCTTTACATGACCCAACACGACCGACCCCACTGGTGGATCACATGGACCCTAGTCTGTAAATTCAGAGTTTAATAAAGTTTCTAGATTAGAATCTGCATCCAGATGAGCCGGCAGAACGCTTGTGCGAAACCATATTGCGTCACACCGCAAAAACATTATTGTCTAATCGTCGTTAATTTGCATTGACTTTTGTACGTAAATCTACTGAAGCGAATCATTTTATTAATACATCGTTGAGTGTATGCATTCAGCTTTTAGTTGTAATCTAACTCACCTGGATTCAGTGACATTTTGCTTTTTATTCCAGGGGAACTGTTGGACAAAATCAGTGTGATTAAATCTAGACATTTGCTGGAGGGAGCGTCCAGGGTATTCACTTGTTTTTATACCTGTAACCGTAAAGATCCTTACCTGTAACCTAAAGATCCTACAGTCTGACAGGATTTTATTAGTCCATGACCTTGAACGGTAACTGTTTAACATCAATTTGCTTCCACTTAGTTAATATATACAGCAGAAATATTCAGGACTTGCCTCACAATAATCAGGTTCAGTGTCCAGTGATTGCTGTCTGTTCGTCAGTGGGTGTTACTGCAAACAGGAGCTGCTAATAGAAGATTCTGCATCCTCAGTGGCGCCAGTGTGACAAAACATACTGAATATAGGTTAAAACAAGCCTCAAAGCCTCACAGTCAGTTAACTTTTATGGGGTCATACCGGTTCCCAAACAGGCCGTTATGTTGGTGTTAGCAGGATATTCAGCATTCACATTTTCTTAATAAGAATGGTATCAAATTTCATTCTTTGTGGTATTTAAAGGTTGTACACTGCAGATTAAATCTGGGTGCTCACCAGTGAACAAATATAATCCATATTCATGCAGCTCCTTTATGTGAACTGAAAAAACATCAGCTCTGAGTCCCCTGAGTGTGGACTTTATGTGAACCTGACTCGTCTCTCTGCTATCACAGTTCATGATCTTTAATTTACGAACCCATAAAGACTGACAGACAAAGAGGAGTGCAGCGGCGCCGGTGTTTGCTGCTGCCGGGCCGCGCTCCCGTACAGCGAGGCCGATGCATTGTACTGTGATGGAGCGACCCGTCATTCAGCGGAGGACGTTGTGCTTTGTCCGCTCAGGTTCAACAGCTCAGACGAGTGGAGGATTTGTTTCAATGTTTACCAACCTGATTCGGTGGCTGACTTCAAGAAGAGCAACCCAGGGAAACCTTACGCCCGCATGTGTGTGTGCAGGTAGGCGCTCAAACAAACTGCAGCTGAAATATAATATCACACAGTGGTTGGAGGTCAGTGTTCTGTCTCATCTTCCTTTCAGTGATACATACATCTCTTGATTATTTAAATATAATCATTTTTACATCATTGACTTTAAACTTACGCTTATATTTGTGTCCACTGCTGAATCCTACGAAATCTAATGTCTGTGCAATGATCCGACATACATATCTGAATAAATGAAACCTTTATGTTACTTTTAGTTTTTACTTTTTTGTTATCTTGAGCGATTCCTCTGGTGTGGGATCAATAAAGTTTATCTTTATCTGAACAGAAACTGTTGCTCATCACTTGAACCCAATGTGACGTCTTTAGTCTTTTGTTTCCGACCAACAAATCCAACATTTCCAAAAGAAAAGCAACCTGGAAACTTTAATCTGTTAATTGACTAATTCAGGGGTTCCCAACCCGAGGGGCCGGACCCCCACTAGGTCTGATTGTTAAAGAATTGTAAAAAGTTCAAGACTATATATATATATATATATATATATAAATGACTAATGATCACGTGACAACAAAATGAAACCAGCATGGAACCAGTACAGTTTCATTCATATACTTTTTTTTATAATTTAGTTTTTTTTGCCAGTATGACTCTGCCTCTAAATCCTACACACTGGTCCTTTAAATTGCGTTTATAATGGTCTTAAATGTAATACTTTGACAGTATGTTGGTCTCTCTCTAAACCGACACCATCATTTCCTCCCTGTTGCGTCTCAGTTTCGACGGCCCTGTTCCCGACCTGCGAGCTATCAAGCTGCTGGCCTTCCAGAGCGGAGACGTCCCGGTGGTCTTCGCTGTCGTGGACTACGGAGACATCTCCTTCTACACCTTCAAAGACTTCCAGCTGCCCACTGATGTGTTCCCCTAAGACCTCTCTGTACCAACGTGTATAAAACGTGTAAAGAATCTGTTGGGTTGGTGCGACGTAGAAAAATGAAAATGGAACCATTTTGATGTTACAGATGGTTCTCTTGTGTGCCAAAGATTCAACTCCTGATGGAGCTCACTCTGCCGTCTGTGACTGTGTCCTTTTTAATGCTGCCTCTGAGCGGTGCCAGAGTGGGAAATGTTTAAATGACACACGCAGTGGGTTTGTCAGTTTTCAGACTGCGGAGCTTTTAGAGAGAAAAGATATTTTCTCTATTTAATTTTGAGGCAAACAGACCGAGTGACGTATACGAACTATTAAACCGACTTTAAAGACTTGTTATTGTTTATTTTCTGCAGCAACAAGAAGATATGTTTATTTATAGATTTATTTATTCCAAGTGGGAAATAAATGTTTGGCACAACACCTACGACACAAGAAATCGAGTCACATAAACAAAGGGAAAACGGTTCAAACGTCCTGGAAAAAAACTGTAAATTTAATTTAGTCAAACACCTGGAAATTAGTTAAATTATCAGATAATAACAGGAAATGTATATTATTACCAATCTGGATTATACCTATATTTAATAATAATAATTCATTTTGAATTCTGCATTTATGCAAAACGATTGACGGCTTTATGTTCTATGAATGTTTTGATGAACTTTACTAGAAAAAACCAACAATCTTAGAGTCACAACTGTTTGTTGTTAATCAGAGTTATAGAATATTAAATATTAAATCATCCAACTTATTTTTAAGATAGAAAAGATGTGTAATTAACGGTTATCAGGAAATAATCCACAATGTTCTGGAAAATACTGAGTGTGTTTCAGCCCCTCAGATTATTTAAACCTGGGTACGTTTTTTATTTTACACATCGGATTATCGGTAGGACAAACTGACACTTCACTCAACGTTCAGATAACTTTTGGCATCAAATCTGTTTTGGAAATGCAGGCGGTTACATCTACATTAGTGTTTCTGGTTGATTAATTAATACACAGTGATGATGTTTGTATGTGTAAAACTTTCTCTTTCTATTATTTCTGTAAAATACAATACATTCTCCTTCTTTATGGTCTGAAGCCAAATTGATGTTACGATTAGATGAAAACTACAAAAACAGCCTTTCTAGAAACAAACCAAATATTCTTAACTATAATCAGATTTTCTTGTATTGTAATTTTACTTGGCTAGAATTCATAAAACTATCTGTAAAGGGTAATTTAATGCCCAAAATTTAAGTAAGTTGTGTTAATTACAAACAATGAAATCTCAGTTACTTAAGATTCTTAAAATAAGTATTTTGTTTACTTTATTGGGCAGAATTTAAGAATTTGTACCGATTGTACCCAATTTGTACCGATTATTAATCAGGAATCTTACAATAAGACAAAATTTCTTTAAACAGCAGAATAAAAATCAGGGACTTTGTGTTATATGAAGGAACCAGAAACAATCTTATTTTTATCATTTTTTATTAAAACAATGAGAAAATTAAACAGCTACTTCATTTCTAACACTGGGACCAGACAACTTTCTCTTAAACTGAGAAGTTGTTTGAGTGCTCTTACTCTGAAAATAAGGACAATAATCTGG